AGCCTTCATTAACTCGAAGTTAGCATGATCCAAGAAACCGGTTGTCAAGATTTTTTACCCTAAAAAAGAAGTTACGTTAACAACAGATGCGAGTAGACGGTTTGTATCAGCAATTTTGTCACAGGAAGGACGCCCGGTGATGTATCTTTCCAGGAAGTTAATGCCAGCCGAAAAGAACAATTCAAATATTGAAAAGGGAGCATTGGCTATAGTATAGAACATGACCAGAGTAAGAGAATTTTTGTTAGGGAAAAAGTTTTTGCTCGGGTCGGAACATAAACCGCTAGAATTTATATTCCATCTAGAAAAGAATTGCCGAAGGTCACATCGTCAAGGATACTAAGATGGGCAATGAAGTTGATAGTCTTTGACTACAAAATAGAATATGTGAAAGGAAACACGATCCCGCAAGTAGATACACTATCACGACTACAGTTTAAGGAAGGACAACACGAGAAATATGAGAAAGTGGAAGATGAAATTTTACATTGGATGGAGACCGATGTATTGCCCATTCAGCGTTGGTTTCCAAGAATGGTAGAGGTCTATTGACGCATGCTGACCAACTAAGATTGTGCCCAAACCATGAAGACTCATACTGAAGATACTGAGGAGTTAAATGTGGATAGAGAAGAACAAGATAATAGATCAGAAAAGATATTGAGTGCTCAAGAGTTTTCTGAGGAATCAGAGAATGAAACATGGGAAAGAAGTCTGTCGAGATCTCCTTTAATGAGTAATCCTCTTGAAACCAGTGAAAGAAGGAAGGTACGTAGGAGAAGCAATATGTCAACTCAAGGAGTTAAACCTAAAAGGTTCCGGGTGGTGTAGTGAGATTGGTTGGGCTAATACTAATTAGCATAACCATATCACTATATAGGCAGAACTTGGGATAGACCGTGAGAGAGAGAGTGTGTGTCCCATGTGACGACTACTACTGTTGTGTGGGTATCAACTTCATAACAAATGGAAAGTATACCAAACAATGAATATAGCTGTTCCAGTGGGCCATGGAGTATAAAGAGATAAATATCAAGGGTTTACAGAAACTGTATATAAAGATAACGACTGTGTCTATAGTAAATAGTAAGTATTGAGAACAATAAAAAAAAACATCACAAAGAGATAGGAACGATATTTAATTGAGAAACGTTATGACGCGTGAGCTGATGAGTTTGGCAAAAACAGCGTTGAACAATTGAATAGTTTCATTGTCATTCAATCATTGGCTAACATGTATTTTTATTAAAAGATGCAATTATCATTATTATTATTATTATTATTGATTATGGTAATGTTGCTTCGACTGAGACTAGTACTGAATTTTAATAATAAATGATCTGATGATAAACAAGTCATGATACACGTGGCTTCTGATCTTAATTGATTGAAGATTTTCGTCTTGGTGAATTAAAATAGGCTTCAGCAAATTTGCTGGTCATTTGCCTGATCTTAACCACTGGGCATATCCCCTAAGGGATGATGCACTGTGCATCTTTGTTCATGAGCGGGTGTAGTCGGGTATCATCATGACCGGGTGTAGAGAAGTTTGAAGGATGGAGGCAGCGATGGCGATTTAGGAGTCATACCTAGATACTTGGGAATCTTCTCAATTGGAGAACATCTTAGCGGATTGGGTTATTCAGCTTGAAGGTATTTCTAACCTGGGAACCACCTGCAGAGTTATGCGCGACTTCTGTCAAAATCTATCACCATATGGCGCATATTTGGCTGAGATGCATTTACCTGGTATACCCTTATCAGACTGGCTGTCATGGTGAGTATATCTTTGCTATTATTATTATTATTATTATTATTAATAATAATAATAATAATAAACATATAATAATTACCTCTATATATTTATATATTTACTGTCCTATCTGTAGTGTGAAGTAAAGCAACTTAAGTTAGTAAATTTAATATTTACTGTATAATATTTTAATATTCTGTATAAATGAAATATTTATCTGCATTTAGACAAAATTAAGTCCCGATCAAAATGAACCGTTTGATTAATCAGTTCCTTTACTCCTACATTTCTTATATTGAAGTCTTACTTGTTCAAGCCTTTCATGTGAGACACTCAGATACCTTTGTCTATTAAGTGATCTTCTTGCTTCAACATAATCTTAAAATAGGCGTTGTCATCGCCGTCCTTGTCGTTCTGTTGCTAATCTTTTTCTTCTGGGAGATATTTCACTGTTATATTAAACATAAAATTTTGAACATGGAAAGATATTGAGCAAAAAGCGATTTATGTAATATCAGGAGTAATCATTGATAGCAATGAACCTCTAAAAATTATAAAGAGAATTAAACGATTACTTAACCTTTGTTTAGTTGTGAATTCTTTATCTCCACTTTATTGAATCTCAATGCATTGTTTCAAGACTATTGTTTCATCGCATCTCACGATTAAAACTTTCTAACAATTGCCGTCATTTGAGATGACACCAGTACACTAATGATAATAAGCCAACTGAATTATCACTACTGGTTTGTCAAGTACAACAGTGGAGAATGAGAAAAGATATCTAATATTTTGTTACCTATACTGTGTGTAGCGGAATGTCTGTTTCTCATTCCCTCATTTCAGAATTACTGATTTTCACATTTCGTCATCAATTTCAACCGACTTCGATCATATATTGATTTCATGTCGACTCACCAGTTGGCCATTTTGATCATTCCTCCATCCAACTTTACCAGATGAGCCACAACAAACGAAAAGAAAAGAGAGTGAGAGAGAAAAAGTGAGAAAGAGAGAAGAGCGATTGGAGTAGACAAGACGGTATTATAGGCAAGCAATCCTAGCATTTCGGGATCCATCATTCGGATCCATTAAACAATTCCTAGCGCCCGAAGCATCCAATTGATATTCTGATAATTTTCCGATTTCTTTTGTTCCGTCATCTTCTCACTCTCTTTCTCTCCTTTTCTCTTTCTTCGTTCTCACTTTCTCTCTGTATCATTCTTACAACGACCTCTCTAAATGTGCTTCTCAAACTTTTCCTTCCAATCTTGATTTTTCTTCTCTCGCACTTAATATCTCCCACTCTCTCTCCCACTCTTTATCCCTCTATCCTTTCTAGTCTGTGTTTCCTCCTTTCTCTTCTCTCGTATGGCAACTCACTTTTTAGATCTCTTTTCCATCATAACATTCTCCCATCATTTTCTTTTTTCTCTATTTTCTCACTTTTATTTTTCCCACTTTTTCTATCGTTACTTCACACTTTTATCCTTTTTTTATTCTTTCGAAAGCTCTTTGAATGTCCCAGGTTTCTTCTGCTCTTTCCATCTTTCTCTCTATTTAATTCAATTACCATTTCACATATACACAAACATAGACACACATTTGCTATCACTTTGTCTTTTATCTTTTTTACTTCTTTCTTTCTCTTATTTTCCCATTTTTTATATATATATATATATATATATATATCCTCTTGTTTTGTAGCTTACACACCTCCTAGATTTGTGCATCCTCCCTGTTGTTTATGTGAAGCATCTCTCTCTCTCTCTCTCTCTTTCTCTTTCTGGCTCCCTTTTTATTTAAATACGTATGTATGATTCTTTTTCTTTTCTTTTTCTGTCGGTCTTTCCTTTACTTTTCTCTTTCTACAGTTCCCTTCCCTTGTTCTGTCGTTCTTTCTCAGTCTCTCTCTAAACTCTATCTATCTCTTTTGGTCGCCTCTTTCTCTTTCTATCTTTTCCTCTCTTTCTCTCTCTCGCTTTCGTTCTCTAAATATGTATGTATCTTTTATTTCTATAGTTCTTTTGTAGCCTCTCTCTTCCTTTATCATTTTTAAACTCGTATTCTCTTTCTCTATTCATTCCTTTTTATTCACTATCTTTCTCTCTCTCTCTCTCTCTCTCTTTCTCTCTCTCTCTCTCTCTCTCTCTCTCTCTCTCTCTCTCTCTATCCTTCTTCCCATGGCACCCGCGATGCACTCATGTGTAACTATAAGCAATAGATGGTTGAATGGGATGAGGGGTAGGGGAAACAAACCGACTGCTATTTTCGGGTGCCTTTTATGCTCCAGTCCGAAACGAAGAAGGGGCTACGGCGGGGGTTAGCGGCCTAACAGTGACAAATAAATGCAAGCAATTTTCATTCGAAGCGCGACAGACGTTCGTTCGCCCGTTCCTTCCTTCGTATGTACATTCGTAATCGTACGTAACCAACTTGAACTCCCAATCATGCCCTCTGCGCTGCACCGCGCCTCGCCATCTTGGGTGTAATGCGGTGTTAACGCTGAAGAGTTCCGCAGCTATATTATTAACAGCCATAAAGTAATAATTTGAAGACGGTTGGTAAAATCGATCGATTGGCCCGGCTCGGCTCGGTTCAACTCAACCCCTGCTCACCGTTCATCCTCCTCTTATGTCGTAGGGGGCGGTTGTAAAGCCAAGCTACAATTGGAATTATCGCCGGAGTAATAAGTTAAATAGTCCAGGCGCAAGGTCGAAATTATGTAAGAGCCTCGCTTTGGGCGCTTTAATCGTTTGGTTGGCCCGCTAAGAAATGTTGGGCGAGTAAACCGATGCCTTTGGGCTTATTTTATTGCGACTTGTGTACGCTTTATTAGGAATTTAGCAAACTTGCGAACAATCTGCAGAAGTTGATATCTTTTTCGGACATGTCACAATTTTATGAGCCGGTCTCAGTTTATTACAGGCGTAATCCATTTCGCTTGTACTGATAAAAATGTACCTACCAATTTCCATATGTTATTATTTTTTCTGTGTAAAGATATTCTGTAAAGTTGGCATTCTGCTCAATAAACTTTTTAATGTCGTTCATATGACTATCGGGGCAGCGAGTAAATTTGCTATTAAACTTATTTATTTGCCATATTTCATGCTGTTCATACTTTTACTAATTAGTCTGAATGTTCCATTCGAAAACTTTGAAGTTTGTTAAAAAAAATAAAACACTTGAAATGTAACCTAGAGCACTGGATGCGTTGCTTAAATCTAGCAGGAATAAATAACGTTCATATTTGTATAGAAGAACGGTAACTTTCATTACCAACTAGAGAGAGTAAGTAATTAGTAAGTAATTGTTTTCTATTTCTTTTTGGGGGTGGGCGGGGAAGGTTTGATACTGGAAACTAAACATGCAAACAGATTGAGTAAAGCAGGCAAAAGAGAATATAAACTAATGTGTTTGCTTTGTAAATTTGATTTGATACGGTTTCATGAAGACGACACTGAATCTTTCAAGAAATAAAATATATTCTTTTAATTTTATAAAAACACATTTTCAGTACATTTACAAAATAAAATGTTTTTGATTAGGATAGTATTTTCAAAGTTGAATTAACTGTAACACGGGTTCAGTCAAAGTTGGCTACCAACTATTAATTTCAAGTGAGCCTATTCAACTGGCGTCATCAGAAATTGGATTTTATTTTAACATTAATATATATATATATATATATATATATATATATATATATATATATATATATATATGAAGATTGCGTCTAAGCATGGCAGTGACTATATATATATATATATATATATATATATATATATATATATATTAATGTTAAAATAAAATTCAGTTTCTGATGACGCCATTTCATCAATGAGACATGTCAAGGTAGAAGTTTTCCAATACACACACACACACACACACACAGACATATATGACGTTTTGCTATTAAGATAGATAGATAGATAGATAGATAGATAGATAGATAGATAGATAGATAGATATGGACAGAAACAGACAGGTTTGGACAAATAGATAGATAGATAGATAGATAGATAGATAGATAGATAGATAGATAGATAGATATGGACAGAAACATACAGGTTTGGACAGATAGATAGATAGATAGATAGATAGATAGATAGATAGATAGATAGATAGATAGATAGATAGATATTAATTTTAGTTTAGCCTGGCACAAATCTCTGACTTTAGGACAGCCTAACGAGAAACGCACTTTGTCAGTGAAGCATGACGCCGTGTCTTCATTTTCCAGACCTTCAATTAAAAGTCTTCATTTTACTTAATCCTGCTTAGGCACTATTATCAATGCCAATTAATTAATAATACAATGATTTCAAATTTTTACATTTTTAAAAGATTTCAATTTTATTTTGGTCAAATAAATTAATAATATTTTTCCTGAAGTTGATTACAATACTTTTGTCAACGCGTACTTTTAATAAAAAATTCAAATTGAATTTCTCATAGAAAAATTCTCTCAAATGCTGATATCAAATAATAATTGTCTTGAAAACTTTACAGACTATGTAGGAAATGAAATTACCTAGAAAGCAGAAAATTGTGAAACATATAGGAAAGGCGATGCAATGTTAAATATTAAATTTCTTGTTTGTATAGCAAAAAAATGATTCCTTACTCTATATAATACCGTCCTCTCCACAGCGATCCAATTAAAATATTTTATCTATCTATCTATAGATCGATTGATCGATTGAAACATATAAAATGATATAAATAAATGATACATATAAATATAACATGTAATTATCTATATTTAAACATTATGTAAGAACGTTATTATTATAATTGAAAAACTCTACATTCGCTGATGAATCTTTAATAAAAGTAAAATATTTAAGATAAACGTTTGTTGTTTATATTTATATATATATATATATATATATATATATATATATAAATTTTGAAAAACAAACAAAATCCATAAATGTAGTAAAATGAAAGAAAATTTTAACTACATTTATGGATTTTTGTTTGTTTTTCAAAATTTCTACATTCTGTCGGATTTATATCCATTTACACTTATATATATATATATATATATATATATATATATATATATATATATATATATATATATATATACGAGTTAAAAATCAAATGCAGATCAAATATGAATCGAAATCTGACAGGATGATAAAGATAAAGAACAAATAGGAAACATCAAAACATTGTTTTCTTTCAATCTCTGACGAAGCTTTGATAAAAGTGAAACACGTTAGATTGATATACATTTGCTATTTGTTCTTTATCTTATATATATATATATATATATATATAGAGAGAGAGAGAGAGATTAAATTAATATGGTTCAATTTATCTTTCGACTGACTTCAAAGTTTCGCGGACAGATCGCTCATCAGGAACAGATTTAATTATTAACAACATATATCATTGTTATACTTTACATAAGAAACGTTAATTTAGACAACAAACACATTCCAAATTTTCACTAGGATAAAATCTGTTAAGAACGTAACAATACAGAAGCGTTCTAATATTACTATATTAAGTTTAAAAATTCTATTTTTATATATTTAAATTATTTGATTGTTATAATACATATAAAATTCTGCTCACCTTCAAATACATTAAATTCTAGTTAATTTTATTTATAACGTAATATTTCGATAGATGTTATTGATTTGTGCTACCACACACACACACACACACACACATATATATATATATATATATATATATATATATATATATAGGCAGCATAACTTCATTCAAATATGTTTCATTGAAGAATATATACATATTATGTCTTTTTATAATCATCCTAATTGGTTTCTAATCAATTTTTTGATGTTAAGATGAAATTCATCAAGGAAGACGCCGTAGTTTTTTTCCAACCTAAGTACTTTCGATCTCCCCCGAGATCATCCTCCAGGGTGAATTACAAAGACAAACTTATTGTAACTGTAATCGTTCTAATGTTGATTTTTAACAACACGCGTGAACGCGCTCTGTTATAATTATTTTACAATTATATCCGTTGTGGCTATGGAATTTTTTTTGCAAAACAAGCGTCCCAATATCAGAAATTGGTAGAAAGGCAAATGGCTTTTGTTAAATTCACTTCAACACGTGGCTGCTACACTCGTAATAAACTTTGTTCAGTTTTGGTGGGTTGCTTTTAATAAAATTGAAGTTTTTGTCAATTATTTTCAGGTGTAATATATTGATATTGTCAACAAGTATTTTCCTGTATTGTGGAGTTGGACTGGGATGTGTTTTGAAATGTTGTGCAATAAAACTCCGGTAAATGAAGCGTAAGGTGTCTTGATAATGTTGTGGTCGTTTAACCAACATATGTAGTTATTTCTTTGCCAGAGTTACAATCACCTAAAGGACATTTAAACTAAACAAAATTTATTACAAGTGTAGCAGCTACGTGTTGAAGTGCATTTAACAAACATTTAAATTCTATTTGCATGACACCTCCTGAAGAGTGGACGGACAGATTCGTCTACGAAACTCTGGAGTCGGAATGCTGAATTAACATCAATCAGCTGTAATAGGCTGAAAAGTCAAAGCAAAAACTTTTTTATGCAAACATGTTTCATTCTTTGAGCAACTTTATCAAGGCATGTGTGAACATTTGGTTTAGTTACCTGTATTTCTACACAGAAGTTATCATCCTCAGGTGTTTCAGTATGAAAGTAGAGTGCAAATCAGTGTGATTTCTGATCTTCGGCAACCTTGTAAATAACTCTTATCAGTCGTCTCCAAAATAAATCGTGAAATATTAAAAACTATCGTTAAGCTTATAAATTTTGTATTAGAGAACGATTCCATCACCGTCATCGTCATCATGATAGCTGATAGTACTTGAAGGTACACTGCAAAAGCGTTTGATTTATCATCTTTAACAATTTCGTAAATAACTTTATCAGTCCTCTCTAAACTTCCGTGTCCTGCGCAAAATCGCAAAAGTGCTGCAAGTCTCCCGAGCTTTTTAGGGTTTTTACAGAGAATGATAGAAATTTATTGATAGTTCTTTTAATATTTTTATTCAATGTATTGAACTATCGGTGTTCGTCCAATGCGTATAGATTTTATTCTCCAGTTTGATATTGATGAAAAAAAAATTACTTAGTAATTATTATCTGTTTCCAATGCTATTAATTCGTGCTATCAAACCCCGATATTAATACCAAGTCCTTTTTTGATTTTAGTCTTTTAGAAGCAACATACATCAATGTTAAAACTACCAACATCCTGAAACAATAATTAGTACTTCTCTTTTTTCTTTTTTTTTTTTTTTTTTTCTTTTTTTCACGAGTCCTCTAACATTAAATCTTCCCGATGGTAAAATGTCTATACCCGATAGGAGGCATTTACAAAGTTTTAAATAAAATGTTTCCAACTTTTAACCGTTGACAATCGGAGACGTCACTGCACGATGTTTTAATAAGAGACTAGTTTATAAGCAAATGCACTCAATTGTCTAAATCTTAGTAAAACATTTGTCAATTATCATCATCATGAGAGTTGTTACGACTTGAAGGCTCATCTTCAGCAACTTTGCAAATACCTGTTACAGTCTTTTCCGGACCTCATGTGTCCTGTGCTAACTCGCAAAAGATGCTGCAGGTCTTCTAAGCTCTTCAGGGTTTTTTTTTACGGGCAATGATGAAATATTTCTGTTAATGTTGTTGTTCAATGTGTAAACTATGGTTGTTCGTCCAATGCCTATGGATAATATTCTTCCATTTTGCAAGGATGAGAAAACCGTCGTCATCCTATTTACTGTCTGTTTCCAAAGCTATCATCTTATGCATTCAAACTCCAATGTTAATATCAAGACTTTCTTTGATTTTGATTTCTTAGAGAAAACATACATGAATATTATAACTATCAACGAGACAATAATTCCTGCTTTTATTTCTATTTTTCAATTATTTTTTCCACAAGTTCTCTAATATTAAACTTCCGATGATAAACTATTTATACGCAATTCGAGGCATTTACAAAGTTTTAAATAAGAAACTGCCAGATTTTAGCGGTTGATAACAGGAGAATTCATTACCTTCTCTGCCTCAATGCTCTGAAATATTATAAAAGATTACTGTGTACAGAAAGTTAAACTATAGAGAACATTAACTGACTTAATTTTTCGACCTATTAATCCAAAAGTGAGTTAATGTTGTTGTCGTTTCTGTTATAGATTTGTTATATGTAATTATTATTTATTTATTTCTATTTTATTTTGTTTATTTATTTATTTATATATTTTTAATTTGTACAAATCATGGGTTAACAGTTTTCTTTTAATTTTTATGTTGGTGAAAGTTGCAGAAATTTAAAAAGAAATGTATCCACGAAGAAAAGAAATATTTCCTACATGACAATTTATCTAGTGCATTAGTTATGCATAAAAATAATTTCACTTACAATTTCAATCTCAAAGATGCTGTACTTAAAAAAAACTTAGGCGAAAAGTTCTTGACGGTGCAATTGTCGATTCTGACCAAAATAGTAACTCACGCTCTAGGTTTTTTCAAATATCTCCTTTCTTAAAAGAAATGATCCTTTCTCAACTCAACAAGCGTAGCCATAAACATTTTTAAAAATTAAGAAAACAACTCATAACTTTTACAAATTAAAAATGAATAAATTGATCAATAAACGAAATAAAATACAAAGAAATAATAGCATTAAAAAACTATAACAATAACATTACCTCACTTTTGTTTAATAGGCTGAAAATGTACGTCACTTTGTGTCTTCCATAATTTACTTTTCTTTACACAGTGAACTTATGGAATATTTGAGAACGTTTTCTAATTCAAACGTAACGATATTTTTCTTCACGTTAGTAAATAAAATGTGTACACTTGCCTTGATAAAGTTCTCAAGGAGCGAAATGCGTTGGTATAAAAGTTTTCCTCTTGCTTCTTATTTATATTGTCTTTACAGATTTATTTTATTTGTATTTGAATTTTTACACACTCACACAACACACACACACATATATATATATATATATATATATATATATATATATATATATATATATATATATATATATATATATATATATATATATATATATATATAGAGAGAGAGAGAGAGAGAGGAGAGAGAGAGAATTAATACAAGTAAAAAGGTTTGTCACTTAGCTGATTGATGTTACCTTCAGCATCCCGACTCCAGAATTTCGTAGACGGACTCTACATTGTCAGGGTTATCAGCAATTGACTGCTTATACTTCTCGATTTTTCTTTTTTATATGCACATTTCATTGGTGCAACTTTTGGATTTTTATGTGTATGCGTGTGCGTGCGCATGCACCCGTCTGCATCTATGTGCGTACGTGTAGAATGTTGTGATTATTTGTCCTTTTCGTAGTTTTTTTTTTCACTTTACACTCATTCCTTCATGGTTTTTTTTTAAATTTCTCTCTTTTTCCTCTTTTCTTTCAGTAGTACTCATTTTGAATTCCGATTTTCCAGACATATTCTAGTGCTTTTTATGAGTTATATGTCTATACAGGGTGCGTTAGAAATACCACCCCACATATATCTCTCAGAAATACATCCCACATAATGGTAAGACATCAGCTAGATGAAGTCACCATTGCCTCTAACGTCTTACCATTATATGGGAGGTATTTCTAGGAGGTGTATATAGGAGATATTTTTGCCTGATGGTAAGTAAAATTTCAACACCATGAATACATTTCAATTTACTCAAGATTAAACGTAGAGAAAATATATCTGGATGACAATAAATTATCATCTATACAGATTGTTGATACAATACAATAACAGCTGTAAGAAGAGTATCTGAAGAAGTTACGTTTCGTCCCATCATATCCCATACATTTTCAATGGAGAACAGGTTTGGAAATCGTGGAAACTGAAGAAGTTGTCAAACATCAGGTGATTTTGATTAAGACAGATGCCATGTGAGTGGGCATTATCCTCCTAGAACAGCAGAACATTTTTCTGGGCATACATGCCACTATATAAATTCCCATTCACCAAAGCAGAGTGAGAGGTGTAACTTGAGGTAGGATACGTTATAGTGTCGATGACGGATATATTCTGGAAGATGTTGCTCCCAAAAAGTCGACATCGAATATGCAAACAGCTATCACTCGCATGAAGACAGAACCTGTCCCCATCACTTAATACTATAGAGTGCCGTTCAAATGTAAAACTAAGCGCATAACAGTGTTTTGGTCTAAGCAGAAGCCAAGCTAGCTAGAAACACACGTGACCATAAATGGCTGTCCGTGTTGACATTTTTGAGGCCACAATTACTCTGATCTGTTCTGTGGACGCCGTGCAATCTGCCATTACTGTCTTTACAGTGCGTTGATAATACGAGACCATCCAAAATTGGATCTATAGGTGTAGGAAAATTCATTAGACCACAATTGTCAACATTGAAGTACTACCAACGAGTCACGTCCAACATGCAGGGCAATTCTCCTAAATTAATATCCAACCTCTCGAAGGCCCACAATCTGACCCGCCTCAGACGAATGCAATTAAACAAAAGAGGTACGTGTGCATAACCACTGTATGACACTTACTTGTACTGGAGTCTTATCGCAGAATGCCTCACTGTTTAAATTTCTGACACAGACAGTGTAATGGTACGAGTTTTACTGCGTTAGAAAAAGACCGAAGTATTTGGAAATATTATCAGAATGTCGCCTATCCGCGAACATGCAGATACGGTATCCAGGGCAAAATCGACATATACCAACATGAAGTTGCAATTTTACTTTCCGATTTTACATATATATATATACTAGTAGCATGGCCGGCGTTGCCCGCGCTTGATTCAAAAATCGTACGACTCATAAAACAATCGCTATCACTTAAAATATTTTTGCTCTTCCTTGCCTTTAAAGGAGTGCCCTTTGCCGTGCTGATGTTGCTACATGAATTACTTCTTGCCTATCTCACACTGCGAATTTTTTCTAAGCTTTATACTAAACATTAAATCTGTTACGAAAAAAGAACTAAACAAAATGAACACAAACCATCAGCTTTAAAAAAAAGGACTCGTAACTGGAAAAACAGAATGAAGAAAGAATGTTAACAACAGATACTTTTTCACACCCAACCCAGTTCTGCGGAATCAGAATCAACGTTGAGTTTAAGCAAGCGAATGAGCCAATTGGAGTAAAGTGCCATGCAGATTTAAATTTTTCACACTTGTGACGAATGCAGCTATCGATTTCTTTTGTATGCTAGCATGCTAGTTAACATTCGTGTCAGTCAACTGTTGGCTCTCACGCTGGCCAATAGAATCTTCCTGCCTATTCGTGGCAGCCAGCTATTGGCTCTCACTCTGGCCAGTAGAAAATGGCCGCAAACTACATGAAAACTGCCGTAGAAGCATGAAAAAATCGATTATTTCCACTATCGATGGGAGTTGGGAAATGAAAAGTCGGTCTTGGCCTTCCCACTAACTTGGAGCATGTACATGTAAATTTTGGTGCAAATCCGTCGAAAATTGCGGCCGTGCATTCGTTACACACACACACACACACACACACACACGCATCCTGCCTTTTATAGATATATATATATATATATATATATATATATATATATATATATATATATATATATATATATATATATATATAATTTTTTTATTTTGTGGTTGCATATATAATGTAATGATTTTGTGGTTCGATATGTATAATGTAACGATCTGGTCTTCCATGCAGTCCTCTTGATTACTTGCTTCTGGTGTTCTTCCAAAAGAATCTCAATTGTCTTCGATTGGTTTGTGTCTTATGATTCATTCAGCTTTGTCGTGCCATTTCCACGCAGCACAAGTTTATTTGTGACAAATGCTACTCAAAAGCTTCTCAAACCTCACTCGACTCAGATATTAATTTGCCTCGTTATCTATCTATCTATCTATCTATCTATCTATCTATCTATCTATCTTGTTCAGATAGTTTGCCTACATCTCTTATTGTATTGATTCAACAACTGCAAGAGGTGTTAAATAATCTGTCACAGGATGTTATTCGCCAGTGTATACATGCAATAAATATTAGCAGACTAAGATAGATAGGAACAGACTTAGATAGATAGATAGATAGATAGATAGATAGATAGATAGATAGATAGATAGATGGCCAAACAGGAAACGTGTTCAAATTTTGTGTCACTTTTTGCTCAATTACAAGATTCTTCAGGTAGCTCAAATTTTTTATTGGAAAAAGCCGGATCCTGACAGACCCGAAAACGCTTGTAAGCAACATCACGGTGCTGGCAGGTAGATGAAGATTGTAAATCCTTTTTTTCTTTTTTGCATAATGGAGACAAATAACAAGAAAATCAAACTCTATAACATCGCTATGTACTATTTGAGTCAATATGTCCTAACTGCATGTGATATCTGCAAAAATCAATAATGATTAAGTATCGTTTGTTATTATTTGCCCAAATTTTGCATTGTGTTGATATTATTTTTTGTTAATATTGGAGATAGTAAATGTTTAGATTTATTGTTTTGGATTCGTCAATTAGTTCACTTTCTATACCTTTTGTGTCATAGAGTACCTGCTTTCATTTCTTATGAGGGCTGCATTTTTCAGATCAAAAGATTTGTATTTATTCCAAGAAATAACTATTTAATTTAACCTAAATGATCTTCAAGATATATCTTTTTTGTTCATCTTATCTTTTATTGATTTTTCTAAGTGTTTCACTTTAAGTGGCATTTCATTTGATCTCGTATATGCCAACATTGGTTTTGATTTTGTTTTCATTATGTTTCTTATTGTTTACTATATCTTTAATTGTTTAGATGTCGTCGTCAGGCAGTTCATGTTATTGTTTAGACTAGATTTTTAAGGCGGTGGAGTGGATTTGATTTTGCCTGGGTTTTTAATGTTATTATTTTGTCTGTTATTATGGATTTTAAATGTTTTCTTTTCGTATTTAATATTTAAGGTAATGTAGTTTATCGTGAATATGTTTTTCTTTATTGTTCAGATATTTTGGGCTATATATTCTGATGTCACTCAAATAAAATTCTAGGATTATGCCTGATTTTATTTTGTCGTCGTGATGTGAGTAGAAAGGAATGGGATTATCATTGTTGTTAGGTTTTCGGTAGACACTCAGATATAGTTCATTATTTGTACGATATATTCATATATTAAAGAAACGGCACAATTGAAATTAAACTTGAGATATTTGGGAAGGATCTTAAAATAATCCAGAATCTATACAGGCAGCAGACCACCTGCACACGGATAGAAAATGAATTCAGTAAATATACAAAAATTGAAATGTGTGTAAGACAATGACATGACTTCTTACCGGACTTATTAAACCTATACCGGCATGCAATTCTGAGAGAATTAGATGTCCTACAAAGATACATTAATGGCGACCACAATCTTGACAGTATAAGATATGCAGATGAGAGAAAATTGATAACAGACGCAGAAACGAAACCACAAGAACTACAAAAAGTAGTGAATGAAAGCGAGAAGAAAGGACTAAACATCAGTTGCATGAAAACAGAATAATTGGCAGTAAAAAAATAAATAAAAAAAAAACACAACGTGCAAAATTACAAATTGGAGATACCAAAATCAAACAACTTAAATATCTTTAACGGAGGCCTGAAAATTTGATATTGAAATTCAAAGGCAAAAAATGCTTTCCAAAAACCAACAGGGAGCCAAAAGAAACAGAAAGATTTCGTTAGAATCAAGTAAAGAGTACTGAACAGTTACTTAATATCGTTCCTCCTATGTAGCAATAAATACTGGGCAAACTTTCCACAGATGAAGAAGAGACTGAATCAATAGAAACGTGGTTCTATGGAAATACGATGGACTGAATATGTGAACAACGACAAAGTTTTAGAGAAAATGTAAACATAAAGGACAGTTATAATTAGCATGAGGAAGAGATTTGAAATTTCTAGAGCACATAAAGAGGAAGAGGGTTTGGAAAATTTGATACTACAGGACAATTTGAAGGCAAGAGAGACAGAGGAAAATAATGTACAAACTACATAGGGAGCTTGAGGAAATGGCTGGCAGAGCAGGGTTTAGGAATGATAAAAAAAAATGTAAAATTTATTAAGAGCTACAACAGGAAATTATGAAGAGCTGTAATCACCAACGTCTTGAATCGACACAGCACATAAAGGAGAAGAATTATGTATGGTAGATTAGTATTGCGGAGTTATATTATTAGACTGTTATCTATATATTTATAATATGGATCAACTTTAGTATATTTTGGCAATAGTTTCTTTGTAAGAATTCTTAAAATATACAAGCACGAGCATCAATGAGAGGAAATACCATAAGTAATTCTTGTCTGTAATAATTGTTGCTAGATGTGAAGAAACATTGGTTTGCTATGAGTTAATTTATTTTTACATTTTTCATTATGGGTACTGTGTGAATATTAGAATTAAGTATGAGTTATTCAGAAAGTCTAAGCATTGTTTCCTGTTATGTTGGTGCAACGGGACTTAATGTCTAGGTTAGCTATGGCTTTGTTGTTTTTTTTTTTATGTTTATGTTTTTAGTTTGTTGACTAAATCTCCCGAGTTGTTTTTAAATGTGAGGCGTTAATTGTACCGAGTAGTAGGTTAAGGACTTTTGCCATATTATTTTTTTAATTGAATTCACCCTAGGCAAGGCAGTAAAGCCACTAAGACACAAAGGATTATTAGGTGTGAAAGGATTAGAAAACAGAAACATTATTAAGGAGCAAGAACTTTAAAATAGTGATCAGGAAGATAATAAATAACGATTAACATTGCATTTTAATTTTTGAAGATCAAAGTTGGCTGGAAAACATGGAGCCGGAACAGTGTTCCACAAGCGAGAAGTGCGAGAAAAGAAACTGTTAGCATTGAACTTACGGTTATATCTAGCCAATTCCACTGTAAATCTATGAGAGCTTTTTACCAATCTTGTACTGTGCTTAAATTCATAAAGCCAAGATACCATAGCAAAGAGAATACCTGGCTTATATTTTTTGAATAGACTATAAATTCTGGGTATTTTAGATTGGTGTTCTATTAGTTTAGACCATGATTTTTCTTCGTTGTTAATTAGTTTTTGAACGAATGGTTGAATTGATGTATTTCACGATTAACTGTATTTTCATCTATTTTCCAGTATGTCTCAGTGTACTCAAGAAGACGGTTCATTTTCTGATGGTAGTTGTTCGTGGCCATGATAGCCATTCTGCTTCCTTTATCTGATGAGGTAATATGGATGACTTTGTTTTTGTTAATTTTTTGTAGGGTTTTTATATGTCTTAATGGTAACGTTTTTTTTTTTCGACGTTTATACGCAGTATTGCAGTGATTATTCCTTTTTTCTATCCTTTTTGGACTTCTGTGTCACTGTGGTCTTTAATGATCGAATCAATTATGTCACCTCTTTTGATGCTAGTGGCAAATTATAGTCTAAAATTGAGGGTTTCATATTCAGTGTCTGTCAGTGATAAATTGGGTGGTTTTCGGCTTATGATTTTGCATTTACTATTAGAGCACAGGAAATTTAATAGGAGTTGCAATGTATGGATTTGTTTTTTTGCTGATATTATGGATTACATGTTTTATTTTATCAGCTTCAAATTTTGTTTTTACGATGGAGTGTTGCTTCGGGTATTTTTTCGCGTGTTCGAAGGTTATCCTACATTAATTGTCGTATACTTATTAAGGGTCGTTGAACAGTAATAACATACATGTTGCTTTATGAAAGATAAAAATTTAAAAAGATATCTCACATCCCAATTATACGAGTTGGGTCCTTTTCATTATAAAGCTACTGCTTAAGAAAAAAAATCTGCATATACTAAAATGTTGAGGCAATGTTATGTTTCAGATTAATTTTATCTTTGTCGTCTCTTTCATAAATTCGTAAAAAGCTATGAATACAACAAATCTATATTAATAAAGCGCAGTGTACGTCCGTCCGTCCGTCCGTCCGTCCGTCCGTGCGTTTTTCGATTTTGGCGAATCATATCATGAAATAACAGGTAGTAACTACTGTAGTTAAACGCGATTAAAAATTAAATAAATAACTCATTTGAAGTTAAATTTAAATATTGAACAGTGTGAGAGTTTTTTTTTAATTCTCTATTATTAATTATTTATTATTTAATTTCACTTTTCGTCGTAATTGCAGTTGATATCGTCTCTAATTAAACCGTAATAAAACTTAAGTGAGGCACGGTACATAGCTCTTTTTTTCTTTTTCTAGCACGCGTGCTGTATACGAAATATTGCATAGTTCGGGTTCCCTAATATTTTTTTAAGATTGACTTTATGTGAAGGGATCAGAAAGAATGGTGATTTTCAAAAGAAAATAAAAATTGTGTGCAAAATAAATGTAAACAAACTACGGAGGTCGGGTTGCGTATACGAAGAAAGATTATGCCGAATTAAAGTGTTGAATTTTATTATTTCTAAATTCTTATAACTTTTTAGTACACAGGACGCTGAAGGTAAAATGTCGAAGGCCCAAAAGGGCGTCTTCTAACTAGTATGTAAATAAGTCGATATAGTGATTTACTAAGCATAGCTTAGATGTGACACAAGGCCCAAATTATAGAGCACACGGTGAGGATCGAACTCACTACTCAGTTGTAACTGATCTAGCAAGACACTTTCACTAACCGGTACACCACGTCGAAGTACCCAAAAGTAAGTCATATGAGCAGGCATAATTTTCAAGTTTAGGATTTTTTTTTTAATTTGAGATATTGGCTAAAAATATGATAAAAAAGTAAATATACTTTGATTTTGTTACTAATTGTACCTGATTACTTGCACTAGAATATTTTGTAAGTGATTATTTTGTTAGTAATTGTATGTAAAGACTTTGATTTTGTTAATAATTTTATGTGAAAAACTAAACTAGCGGTTAAGCATTGCCCTTTTGAACACACACACGAATACACATACAGACCTTCGCTTGGTATGGGTATCCCGACAATGCAGCAGATTATAGGGAACCGTCACATTTGTCCATCTAATTTGTTCTTTTTAAATATACATTCATTTTTTTTAATGAACATTATTTCGACCGTTAATCTCATATTAAACAATTAGTGCTCTTTTTTTCCTGATTTCTCACAAAATAATAATGCCATTTCAAAATTTCTAAGCTTACGGCCATATCACGTTCGAAAACCGGTTGTCGTATGATCTGCCAAGTTAAGCAACGTCGAGTCTGGTCATTACCTAGATAGGTGACCGCTTGGGGATACCAGG